GGGGGGGGCATTTTCCCATGTTTTCTTCAGGAAAACCCATAAATACATTAATAATAACATTTATTATAATGGATAAACTCTCAACCAAATACAATATGTGCTCACTTGCCTCGAAAATCTTCGCAAACCCTTCCGAAAGGCAAATTTTAGGTGAAAATGACCCATGAACTTTGACCTCAGGTCAAGGTCACTAAAGGTCAATGGAAAAAATGGCAACATCAATTTTCTTGTTCTCAGGACTCATAAGATTACATTTATAATGGTTGCCATAAATTAACATGAAATGCCAACGGAAGTACATTGGCCCCCCCACTAATAGGCCTACTGTTTACATCGCGCAAAATCATAGTGTTAAAGGGAATATACATCATTGGCTTTTGCTGTAATTTTCAGAAATGGATGGAATTGGGGGGTTGGAAATATATAGCAAATATAGTTACACTGACTTTTATGAGGTTTTTGGGTTCGAAAATGCTATAAAAACCAAGAAAAACAATCATTTTCCTGTAGTCTGGTTCCCTGACTCCATATAAGAAGAAACAGAGCAGTTTACATACATTGGGGAATTGTAAGGTCAGGGAACCAGTCTAGCTGGCTTGTACCCGTTCATAGGTGTGTAATCGATTGCAAAGAAGTGCGATGGTCAATTGGGGCCAGTATTTGGAAAAAAGCCAGATTTTTCCAACGCTGGTCGGCCGACCAGCGTTGGAAATTGATACAAAAATACCACTTTTCTTGAAAATGACAGTATACCAGGTGCCATGATTTTACAGGATGCTTTACACTGTCATTCACTAACACAGTCCAGCAAGGTATTTCAACATGATTTGGTAGTTTTAATTTTTGATGTTTGCAAATGTTGTATTTTCCCTTTAATGCATGTACGTCATCGTATAGTTGGGTACCATTACGGGTTGATGTGTAATTGATACAACAATGCTCCAGGCACCATGCAGAATTTATTATGCTATTGCAATATGTCATCGTATAAACAAACCTAGTCTATAAACTGTGAGGTTCATCACCCTTTCTAAATTCTAGACACAAACCCTAGGTCATTTTAACAGCTGACTGGTTCTCAATATTAAGTAGTTTTCATGTTTGTTGGTCTTCTTTTAGGTTAATCTGATGTTATCCCTTCAATTCACTTTGAATGTGAAGAAGTTGAATTTATAAAATATAAAATATAAATTCCCCTCCTGACCGATGTTTTTCAATCTTAAGTGATGAAAAGCTTAAAAATCAATGTTGAATGGCCTAAGCTGTATTTTCTATTTCAAAAATGAATTTTTATGTTATTCTCCTCAGCAAGCTATGGCCATACATTACATAAAAGTACTCATGTTCCTCTGTAGTGGTGAACACATATAGGCCCTAATCCCCATACAACAGCCAAAGAAATTCAGCATGAATACAGCAACGAAAGGGGTGCGGGGCAGACGCAGATTTCTGGAAACCGAGCATTGGTACAGACTGGTACCTTCATGTTCTTTTGTGCTACACCCAACCCTTTGTGTTCTGGGGGTGAACTAGTTTCTGGGACATTTTCTGGCGCGTTTCACCTTGGTCATATATTCAATGGCAGTGAATATTTGGCAGACGGATGTTGCTGTTATTATGGCATACATTGTACATGCAACTTTTGCAATACGCCAATTTTGTTTTAGTAAACTTTTAGTTTGCTGAAGGTTGTTTTTGACTCCTCCGTTTACTAAATTTACATTAATGCAACAGTTCCTGATCATTTTTTATACAAACCACTGTGCAACCGTTTATGTTCAAAGTTTCCGTGTCTGAGTGACACATTTCATATTCATAAATACCTAATACAATTTACCCATTCCTATTGGTCGAGAGCCCGTCATGAGACCAGTCTTACACGGATGATAAAGACATGGCTAGCTGGTCTTAAACACTTTTCTTGTGTCACATGAAATTTGGACTCCCATGAAATCTGGTGCTTTTTAACATTTCATTGGTTGAACGTTCACATTCCTCACGTATGCATGCGCAATACTATCAGTGAATCAGTATTTCATGGTCCGAAATTCACACTACACCAGCCAAGCTGCGTTTTGCGCGACATGTTGCAGTACTCGCGACACGCGTACCAATATCCTTATAAGGTACGGAACTGTAGGGACATTCCATATCATAGTCAGAGGGGTGTTTCATAAAACTTGAAGTAAATTGTGGGGAAAAAATGGTGGCAACGTCTAGTATTTTACTTGTTTTGAGTTTTGGACTGAAAAGATTTGTTTTTGTTTTTTTACCGAAAAGGTATGAATGGGAATAAATATGTGCTTGGTCGGTATTAAACACTCTGTTTAGGACTGGTTGGAGTCTGGAGTGCTGATAATTACCCATCCAGACTCCAACCTGTCTTAAACAGAGTTTTTAATAACTCCCAAACACACATTCACACAGACTCAACTTAAACGGAAATAAATTCTGGCTTTTGTACAGGATTGAACCCGACAGTTGCGGATCACTTTTGACAGTTCCGGTTTACCCACGCTGCGCTACCTGGTACACGTGCATAAATTCATCATTCACAGCGCGCTCAACGCGTGCATCGTGTGTCACACCTTTATCATGTATTAAATCTGCACACAAAACTGCATCATGTGCATGGCTGTCTCACGCGGGGATGAAAGACTTTTAAAGTCTTTCGGCGAATACGGCAATTAATTTTGTAATTCAAATGCCCAAATCATTATTACTCAGTGATACTTGAGATTATTTCCTTACAAGAATTTATTTCCTTAAATTATGTTGACTAAGTTCCATAGAAAACCAGATTTTTGCCTTTACACACTTCCTTTTGTAGGCCAGTTACAAAACAAGTGGATATTTTACCAAACTGGATTGTGGGTAATGTTTGAGCGATTTCCAAAATTTCTTTTCCCCGACAATTGCAAAATGATAGACCTTCAAACTGATGAAAAGAAAAATCCTGAAAAAAAGTTTGGTTATTTAAAGTTGAATTAATTTTTATTAAATCAAGTGATCCGGAACTGTCGATGATCCGGAACTGTCGGACTGACTGTAGTTAATAGAAACAGGTACAGGCCGAATGTCCAATGCCGTCAACAACTGTACGGCAATCAAATAAGAATTCTATATTCCACATGTACCTACCACAGTTAATTTTTAGGGTTAATATGAGTTTTGTAAAAACGTCAAAATCGGCAGACAACATGGGCGAGAATGACACACAAAGATTGAAGATGCACTTTGATGCTTGTAAATTAACAATGTTTAAAAGTTGATTAAAAAACAGGCAGACAAACATTCAAACTTTTTGTTGGATGTAACTGATTTAATTGGAAAGAATTCCAAACATGGACATCTGTGGCAGGGTTCTCATCCAAGGAGGGCGAGTTTGGGGGGGGGGGGGGGGGAAGGGGTTGGGGAGGGGGGCTGGATGCTATGTGGAAGAGCGCCCAATTTCATCCGTGCTAAAAGGTAGACAGGTTTTTCACCGGACACCCTGCCTTCGTCAGATCAAATAGTGGGGGTTGGGGGGGGGGGGGGAGAGGGTGGGGGAGATGGTTGGACGCCATCTTTCAATTGGGATGCTGTTCAAAACCAATTTCATGGTCATTGTTAGACAATATAATAAGGTATTGCTGTACAGATTCCAGGGGAAATGAGGGGTGGGGGGGGGGGGACCTATGTCGTTCATGGACACTGTTTGTTTTTCCCTTCAGTGACCTATTGGCCATCAGAAAGAGATAACATGTCCTAAAAAGTCAAGTCAAAGGTTCGTATAAGCATGGAGGTACGGTAAGGGAACAAAATCCACTTTTCAATTAATCAACCTACCAAACTAGTTGGCGACATTAAGAACATAATTAAGAACACAGACCCCCTAAAGCTACGCGGTCCTTTTTCTGCGCATTTACCTTCAATTTGTGTGTGACAACGCGCGCCTGTATGCAAGCGTCAACTGCGCAGATAATGGAGGGTCGAGGATATGTCATAGATAAAGGGCAGGATTTTGAATTTGGGGTAAAATGACAATAACAACGACAAAACACAACATGAAAATAAAGATGGCCACGCAAGTCGCGCTGCATGGCACCAACCGGCCCGTAAACCGCGTAGGAAAATCGTAATTTCTACCACAAGAAACTGTTCAAAAATTAATGTGTCATTATATCGAGACAAGTCTGCCTTAGGTTGACAACGTCATTTTTTAGTAATAAAAAGTGTCTTGATTCTAATTTGATCGAAACAAAACGGGGCCCTACACTACAGAATCGCCATAGTCAGGATGCTCTGTCTGAGAAAATGTCCATACTAGGTCACCACTTTACCTGCCGCTAAACACATCAATTTTTACCTCACCTTGTGATTTCACCCAAGAGGAATCCAGGAAGCTGTGTAAACTAACAAACAAAAAATTAGGCAAAATGTGTTTTTAGAACACATTTTGGATGCACTCGTCGTGCAGAACTAAGTTGAAGCAGCCGGTCAAAACTGATTGAAGTGGCTGAAAGACAGCGGTACGTTATACGCATGACATCGACAACCATGACGTCGCATGTGCCGGCCAATACGTCATTATGAATATTTATTTTCTCATGAATATTTAGTTTATTTCAGTGGCTACTTCAAATACGTCCAAAGATTGATTATTGCAACAGCGATCGTGCGTGGCCTAGCGGTCTCGTGTTTCGAGCAAGAGTCCGAGGTTTGAATCTCAATGAAGTAAGTGACTGATTAATAAATAGGAATAAAGGAAAGGAGAGGGTGAGAGTTGCAACTAGCATGCAACTTTTGGCACTCGAAAATTAATTTTAAAGAAAGTGGTGATCCAGTATGGAATTTTTTCCAAAATTACTCATGTTACCTAAGGGCCTACCTATTTTATGAATCTACTTTAACTTTATCTTTTTTGAGAAATATGGAATATATGAAATGAAAAATGAAAATTATGTAAACAATGAAACAATTTAGAATTGACACAGTAAAACTTCACACAAATTTCTCACCATCAATTCGCTTCTTTTCGTCCTTCGATTCAGCCCAGGGAGTTGTCTGAACTATTCCTCATCTACGAATCTGTTTGTCTCAAGTGACTTTCTAAACACAGCAAAAAAATTGGCCTTTTTTGAGGCGAACTCTTGCTCTTTCTTTGAACCGGATGAATCTCGTCAGTCGCAATAGGCCTACATTCTAAATAAGGTCATTTCAAGGTCAATAGTGTTTTGATTGACCAGCTGTGCTGCTTGAAACTATAGAGGGCGCGCTGCATTCCCAACGGTGAACGGAAAGAGGGCGCTATAACACTTTAATGGGCGACCCTAAATACATTATTCATTTGATATCATCACTGAGCGTTGATACCGTGAAATTGGTACGCTTTATATCAACTTAAATGCTGAATCATTCTCAATGTTTCACAAACGTCTTTTATACATCAAAAGCAGTTATGAACGAAAATCCAAGTAAATACAACTAATATTTCTTGAGTTATTGTCCACTCAACAAAGCATTCCCGTCAAGAAAATAATATAGGCCTAAATCGCGCTAAAGACACTTCGGCCTTTATTTATTAATTTTTATTAGTTGACAATTCTTCCTGATATATGTAATTAAAAATTTTTAAAACCTCACAAGCAATTTCTATTTAATACAACAGTTGCTTTAGTTATTGGCCCAAGCGAGTGTTTGTGTTTAAATGTTTTTACTTAAATGCGACTTCGCGCCGGAGACACGCACGCTATCCTTTTTCCCACGGCGGTGTGAAACAATAAAAATGTACGAAGTAAACAACACTTTGTAGTCTCGATATTTTGTGTGTTTGTTCTATTTGTCATGACCAATCTACTAGCTGAAATTCAATTCAATGCATTATTTAATTAATGAGTTACCGTGTCCATAAGGGCTGTGTCGTTTCTGTGCAAAAGTATAGTGTTCTGATTGGACTGTGATGGATGTTAGCGAGTTTTTCTCCGTGCTGACACAAAACACTGTTAGGCGAAGTAAAAAAAAAAACATGTTTAGCGTCCCCGCCCGCTTCCTTTTTAGAGGCCGCCTCCTTTTTTTTTTTTTTTTTTTTTTTTTTTAAAGACAAAAATTGATAAATTTTAACGATCTCTGACGAAAGAAATCGTATTTTTAGACTTTTATACCGTGTATAAAGCTGTGGAAACAGTCAATGAGTCCAAGTGGCGGCCATTTTGAAAAAAGCTGGTAACCATCTTGAAAAATAGCCCGGCCGCGTTGTCTTGAAAAATGTGTCGGGCGGCCATTTTGAAAAGAAAAAAAAAAAAAAAAAGGGCCTCCTCCTTCCTTTTTGTCAAAGAGGCAGGACGCTAAACATGTTTTTTTTTTTATTTTGCCTTTATGGAAAGAAAAACAACATTTTGTCTCAATATTCTGTCTATTTTTCATGGCCAATCATCTGGCCACAATTCAATTCAATGCATCATTTAATTTTTGAGTTTGCGTGTCTACAAGGACTGTCGTTTCTGTGTAAAAGTAAGGCTAAGGCCAGAAAAAAAAGTCTCCGGTTTCTGGTATGGAGCTTGTCCAAAAAGTGGTGCGGCGACGCGGCTTTTTTTTTTTTTTTACCCGACTTTTTTGCTTCAAATGTCGACTGATGACTGCAAATGGTGCCCGACTAAACTTAGTGCAAATATATGGGAGTCCAGAGAGGCCACATAAAGCTTATTCTCGATCATAACCCCATCTAAAAACACGTTAAAATTGTGCAGCAGCAGGATTCCAGTCAAACCAGTGAGTTTGGCGGTTTTGAGACATCATCTTTCATTGAAAAAAAAACTTTTTCATTTTGCCGACGCGCATGGCTACGGCGACGCGCGCGCATACCAGAAACCGGAGCCTTTTTTTTTTGGCCTAATGTTCTGTTTGTACTGTGACTGCAGATTCGCAATGTTTTCTTGGTTTTGACACACGACACTATCTATGGAAAGAAAAAACAATATTTTGTCTCAATATTCTGTTTATTTTCTCTATTTGTCATGGCCAATCATCTGGCCTCAATTCAATTCAATGCATCATTTAATTCATGAGTTAGCGTGTCCATAAGGACTATGTCGTAGAATGTATCAGCAGATTGGCAAGTTTTTCTTCCCGCTATAGAGGGCGCCATTTACAAAACACAGTGATACACAATGATTCTTGTACTAAAAGCAAGCTCATTACTTGGGATATCATGTCCTATATTATGCAAGTTCAAAACATGCAGGATTTCATTAAAAAGGTCCTGTTATTTTGTGTTTCCTATTTCGTACCTCACATGTACTTGTGAATTATTTGTGAATGGAACTGCAAGGAAAGTTGCAAGGCGCATTGCGTACACGATGACAACCAAAAGACAGCTATCCTGCAATTTTATTTTGATATAATGAAGTTCAAAAAAATTTCGTTTAAATTCATCGTATGTGTTTGTATGTTTGTTTGTGCACAGGAGCAGGCCTGCAACGATAAATCGAGCCAATTTTGTTCATCAGAAAAATAAAAAAATCTGTTGTCACGAAAACGAAGCTTAAAATGGATCAAAAAAATTATCGAAAAGCAAAAAGAAGATCCTGTTCTTTGACAAATTATGCAGCACCAACTACAATTATAATCTTCTGCACTGCACTTTTAAACCATTATTACTGCATAATTCTTTCAATCTCAAAGTACTTGAAGGAAACAGTACGGTATTTTTCTATTCACCAACGCTACAGGGAATAAAATCCGTGGGTAGACTGCAGTGTTGAATACCATAGAGCTATAGGAACTGAATGCCGACAACGGAAAAACTTAATTTAATCGCCATTTACCGGTAATTCGGCGCGGAATTGACGGCCATTATTTTCCTGACTCGGCGAGGCTAAGAAGGAAGTACGAGATTAGAAATAGGCTGTAGATGGAATATCAATGACCGCTCCTGAGCAATTTTAAAGTGCTGGGATTATAGCAATTGAAAGAGGCTGTTTCGTATGGCGCAGATCCGTTATCCCAGCAGCCATTTCTTTTCTTCTGCAGGTCAGTAAAGTCATTTTACCTTAACACGCATGCGTGGAACATATCACGTGATGTGTTTAATCACATCATGTAGGCCTCTTCCTCGTTGAAATAAATTTCATCTTTTTTCATGATTTATTTGGCTCCGGATGATTTTTGCTTTATAAAGGACAGTAAAGTTTGAGAACCATTTCCTCACCGACTTACGCATGCGCATTACGGTTATTGACTTTTCTTGTTGCAGAAAAAATTGCCTCCCGACATTGACCTTTGAATAGAGCGCCCTCATATAGTGTCTATGCTCATGCACATCACAGAGGAGCACCGATCTACCCCAGTGAGGGCGCTCTATGTATAAGGTCTATTCATTAGATCACACAATTTTAATTTCAAAGACTATAGCAGTCACAATCTCGTACTATGAGCAAGCTAACATTGCAAGAAAAATCAGTTTGAAAGTTCAATGTCTTCTATTTATTGTATTTGACCATCAATTAAAACAATTTTGTGAATAATGTTGTTAATAAACAGTACACATTTCAGTTTCTTGTCTTTACTGAGTTTTGGATTGAGGCAATTTGAAAACAGTTACACCATTTTTACCATGAAGTAGCACAAACATGATTAAAAGGATTAAGTTGGCAAATGGTGTATCTTGAGAAAGCATATCCAAATGCACTATTGTTGCATTTCTACGATGCGTATAACACAGTGCCAAATAACATGGCAAAATGTTGTCTTTTTTTATAGTTACGCCCTTTTGCCTTGTCACATCTGGTCACATCTAGCACAAAACAGGGTGTATCTCAGTATACACACTTTTGTCAAAGAAACTGAACCAAACAAGCACGTTTTTTTGCACGAGATACGCCCTGCTATCTTTGAAACGGAAGGCCGTGTGGACTGGAGGGTTCGTTTAATGGAAACAGCGCCCCCAATAACCCAAGAAATTACATGATTTCAAAAAGGCCAAAATTGAAGTTACACCCTTTTGGCGTGAGGGGTCGAGCTGCACTCGCACTAACTACGAGCAGTTATTTTTCGAAGGTCAACGGCAGCATCTTGTTTTTTATCTTTCTTCTCGCTCCTTTAGAATTATTCAAGACAATTATCGTCGATTTGTGAATGCCCGTCATCGACTTCATAACAAGAGGATTAATTAGTTGCCATGGCAACAGATCAAGCGCATTCGAAACGGTCAGTTATTGACGTCGCTTCTCGATTCGGTTTTAATTTGTGATGCCTGCGAATGGGCGCCTAAGATGATCTTGTGGAATTATTTTTCCCGCCGGAATAGTAATTCTGCTCAGACAAAAAAGGTAAATCTTTGGCCTTTAATGACAAGTCGAGAATTTTGGTTCAACGCTCGGGCAGGCATTATTGTCTGGTTCCCTGAATACCGTGGCTGAAGCTTGTTTGGAGAACAAGGTACCAGTCTTTTTCTTTTACCCATGGAGAATATTAATGAGAGGAAAAAGGAGATGACGTAGTATCAACCATTCATGTCCTATGAAAGTCAAGACATTTGCTTTTCGTGCATTTTGTTCGACGGTATTCATTAATAGCACCTTTCAAAATCTAAAAAGAAATGTAGCAAACCTAACTTGTTAAAGTTTCAGCTCAGTGAATAGTACACTTATCGAGAAAACAGTGAAAAACCATGCACAACCTTTTTGATAACGAAAGCACTCTATATTTAAAAACAAAATCAGTCAATTGACTGATAGTTGGAAATCACCTACATTTCTTAATTTCTTCTAAATGACAGCACGCCAGACGGAATAATTTCACAGGGTGTTTAGTACCAGTATGCTCTTTAATCCAAGTGAGCTGTTTTTGACAATTCGGTAGGTTACTTTTGGGATAAAATGCAAATGATCAAATGCATGCCTTGAAACGTAGTTGCTGCGCTTATCTGAAAGTGTGTACAAAACAGAAACAGACGATATCTGTTGTCAGACTTTCATGGTAACGTAAAAATTTATGGCTTTCGGAAAACCAGGCTGGCTATGACGTGTTACAGGGATAGAGACCGCCACACATGAATGGGTTTCAGACGACAGACGAGGCGCGATGTCGTCTTTTTGGGGCGGGAGAAAATGTTGACAAATTGGCACGTGCCTGGTAATTCCGCGTTTGTCGGGGTTTTTGGCTAGACCTGACGATCGGATTTCACTATAAAAAGAGTGTCCACGCGGAGTGAGCGATG